GGATCCCACAACCATGGAATGTCTCCGGCGCTCAGTGTTACTATTTGGAAGAATATCTTACGTCCGTCACTGAAATATGGCTGCGAACTTCGGAACAATATCTGTCTGTCGGTAACATGGTAATATTTAAATACTTCAAAGAAAAGTAGCAAGAAGATGTCAAGAATTCCAATATGACTCACCTTCGTTTATTACAATTTCTTCATTAGGTCTATTGGGAATCAAGAAATATGTGGACAAGTGTAAATTGCTGTTTTGGAATCTTTTGAACAGAGGACATGCAAAATATATATGAGAAGAAGATATCATGGATGCCCGTTTGTGTAACTTGGTGGTCAAAGACAGAGTCGTTTCAGGCTTCATTCCCGATATTGTAAGAATTCATGAATAATACAACTTTGGCAGCCTCTTCGCGGATTTCTGTTATTATGGAGACCCTATCGGAGAACAAGCTGGAGACATTAGTTATAAATGTTATCTACTGCTACCAAGATGAGAAATCGAGGACTTAATCTACTCAGACATCCAGACAAATTTGAAGTTACATCCGCTTTGGAATCTAGGCGTAAAATATCCGTCTGATATTTGGAAACTAGCAGAATGTATAACTTATGTAAATGATATAGTTACAAGAACATGTAATATATGTGGACCGCAAAGTAGCAATGTCATAGTTCATTTAATACAGTGTAGTAAACTCTACCAGACTAAGAAATTCTATATTTGACAGCGTGGTAAATATATTGGGTACAACGCACTTCACATTTTTTTCTTAACTGGATGACACTGACATGGCAAAGATAATACGAGGCTGTCGAAGTCGTATCGTAAACGAGTAGGATGAATGGGATCAATTCATGCTTGAAAACAGCGTCAGCATTGCTGCTATGACCAAACGTTTAGTTGAATTACTATTTGATTAGCTGTTTGGCCGACTGCCTTCAGTAATAATTACATTATATCTGACAAAATAACTACTATTAATGATAACTCTTAAAGTGTGATATTTTTAAGTGTTTGAATGTATGCATACTGTTTATAATCTTCATGATAATGGAGGAAATAAAGACAGCTATCTTTCGCGATACCAGGAAATCCTCCCCAATAAGATACAGGGAAAATATGCATCAGGAAATCAGCAATAAGACAAATAATGAACAATTTGTGGAACGAATTTAATTAAGAAGCTGATACTGTTGTTTGTTGTTATTCCATAGCAGTTATATTTAGTTCATTCAAGTCTATTTGGTTAAAGAAGAATAATAGCGATAATTTTATTTGTGTTCAAGCTTAGCGAAATATTCGTTACATATACACTCATAAACAGGCCCTTCGCCGCTCAATTGTACATCCATGCTGACGAGGGTAGCCCGGAAGGTTTATTTACATGATAGCTAATACATAATAGATAATCATGTAACAGCGCCTTCCCAGTCTACCTATACACGCGTAAGTCGTCATTTATTTGATTGGTTTACGCCTATATTTGTATATTAATTATACATCCCGTATTGAGACAGTCACGATCATAGGTTTAATACAAGGAGGGTTCATGCACATGTGCGCATTGGGAATTCTGGTTCCACCAAATACAATTACCCAAATTGAATGCCAATGACTATAACGACATGTACTGATCAGATACTGTATACACATAGGGACAGAGTGTACCGACCCCTTGGTCAGGGAAGGTGATCATGATGAGGGTCATTATCATAAAAGTAGCAGTCCACTCCCACTTAATTCAAAGGGTCAGAATGAAAATAAGGTCAACGCGAAAGACAGAAAAGACAAAATCCTAAAAGTATGACCATGTAGTTTCCTGAATTGACTAACAACACGAAAATTCGTCAAAAGTCGCTCGGTCGATAGACGTGGGTTCGACTCCCGTCATCTTGGGGAACTAGTGTAAGGCCTCTGAACAGAGTCTTAAAACAATTGTATAGATAATTATTTTGACAAATATTTGTTGGCAAAATTATCGCTGGAGCAACTAAATCTGCGTTATATATTCGTAAGTAATTTTATAATATATAAGTAACAGAGCAGTAGTAGAGACGCATGTAGAAAAACCACCACTGTTCTTTAAAGGTGCATAAACGATCATACGGATCGGAGATCGAAAAGAAGAGATAGTCTGGTTATCGTTGTATTAAGCTATGGGAGACAAGAATCTGGTTGTTATTCTACTGGACTATAGGCAAGAAGACAGATTACAAAGTCCCGCTCTTCTTAAACATGAAAAATAGGTGTTGTTTCTTTTTTGCTCTGTTTTACAATGGAACAGACGACAAATTCCCGTAGTAGCCGAGTTAAACTTTTCAAAAGATGAAATGTTTTGTGTAGTGTTTTCATCGCTCTATTTAAACGAACAAAGAATCTCAATGTTACTCTGAAGAACAATAGAAAACTGTGTTAAAAAAGACAGTCTCTCTCCTTTGTTGTTTGGTTCCATACGTTACTCGTGGGGAAAACCCCACCATTAACAGCTTACTGATGTCAGTGACCGAGTTAATACATACATTGTAGAAGAAGAGAGTATTCATTATAGAGAGTTCTACAGAAGGGAGTATCCATTACAGAGAGGTATACAGAAGGGAGTATCCATTACAGAGAGTTATACAGAAGGGAGTATTCATTATAGACAGTTATACAGAAGGGAGTATTCATTATAGAGAGTTCTATAGAAGGGAGTATTCATTATAGAGAGTTTTACAGAAGGGAGTATTCATTATAGAGAGTTTTACAGAAGGGAGTATTCATTATAGAGAGTTATATAGAAGGACGTATTCATTATAGAGAGTTATACAGAAGGGAATATTCATTATAGAGAGTTATACAGAAGGGAATATTCATTATAGAGAGTTATACAGAAGGGAGGGTTAATCATAGAGAGTTATATAGAAGGACGTATTCATTAGAGAGAGGTATACAGGGGAAAGTATTCATAATAGAGAGTTATACAGAAGGGAGTATTCACTAGAGAGAGTTATACAGAAGGGAGTGTTAATCATAGAGAGTTGTATAGAAGGACGTATTCATTAGAGAGAGGTATACAGAAGGTAGTGTTAATCATAGAGAGTTATACAGAAGGGAGTAGTCATTATAGAGAGGTATACAGAAGGGAGTGTTAATCATAGAGAGTTGTATAGAAGGACGTATTCATTAGAGAGAGGTATACAGAAGGGAGTGTTAGTCATAGAGAGTTATACAGAAGGAAGTATTCATTATAGAGAGTTATACAGAAGCAACTATTCATTAGAGAGAGTTTTACAGAAGGAAGTATTCATTATAGAGAGTTATACAGAAGCAACTATTCATTAGAGAGAGTTTTACAGAAGGAAGTATTCATTATAGAGAGTTATACAGAAGCAACTATTCATTAGAGAGAGTTTTACAGAAGGAAGTATTCATTATAGAGAGTTATACAGAAGCAACTATTCATTAGAGAGAGTTTTACAGAAGGAAGTATTCATTATAGAGAGTTATACAGAAGGATGTATTCATTATAGAGAGTTATACAGAAGGGAGGATTCATTATAGAGAGGTATACAGAAGGAAGTATTCATCAGAGAGAGTTATCCAGAAGGGAGTGTTAATCATAGAGAGTTATATAGAAGGGAGTATTCATTATAGAGAGTTTTACAGAAGGGAGTATTCATTATAGAGAGTTATATAGAAGGACGTATTCATTAGAGAGAGGTATACAGAAGGGAGTGTTAATCATAGAGAGTTATACAGAAGGAAGTATTCATCAGAGAGAGTTATACAGAAGGGAGTGTTAATCATAGAGAGTTATATAGAAGGACGTATTCATTAGAGAGAGGTATACAGGAGAAAGTATCCATTACAGAGAGTTATACAGAAGGGAATGTTAATCATAGAGAGTTATACAGAAGGGAGTGTTAATCATAGAGAGTTATATAGAAGGACGTATTCATTAGAGAGAGGTATACAGGAGAAAGTATTCATTATAGAGAGTTATACAGAAGGGAGTATTCATTATAGAGAATTATACAGAAGGGAGTGTTAATCATAGAGAGTTATACAGAAGGATATATTCATTAGAGAGAGGTATTTAGGAGAAAGTATTCATTATAGAGAGTTATACAGAAGGGAGTATTTATTATAGAGAGTTATACAGAAGAGAGTATTCATTAGAGAGAGGTATACAGGAGAAAGTATTCATTATAATAAGTTATACAGAAGAAAGTGTTCATTATAGAGAGTTATACAGAAGGGAATATTCATTATAGAGAGATATACAGAAGGGAGTATTCATTATAGAGAGTTATACAGAAGGGAGTATTCATTATAGAGAGTTTTACAGAAGGGAGTGTTAATCATAGAGAGTTATACAGAAGGATATATTCATTATAGAGAGTTATACAGAAGGGAATATTCATTATAGAGTTTATCATTGTAGACAGGTATTGGACGATACGTCACAAACACTTATCAACAATGTGAATTCTATCCCGGATATCTAATTAACTCAATACTTTTTGTAATAAAATGTTCCATGGAAATTCAATATTCAATTACGAAAAGCCGTTTCTTATATGTCTATCGAGACTTTCACCAGGGGACTCGCGTGCGTGGGAATATTAGGAACATTTGCCTCCCAACAATACGTTTCGGCGCGTACGACTTTCGAAAAATTCTAAAATTGATTTAATTCTAAAATTAATTCCACTTCCTAAATTTATGCACATACATCATTACAACCTCGGGGTATGTAATAGATTAGCTCGTTAAAAATAGAAAATAATTTACTGGATAGTGGATATCCTGTGAAGTTACAATATGCTACAGCTTGCAAAAAATCTTTAACACAGATTTACTTTAGTGGCAAAGATTGTCACGTGTCACGTTTTGTTCACTACACATTTTAGATATAAATCATTACAAAACACAACCCATGAGAAAATACCCATGTGAAAGTATCCGTTCCCGCCTTTAATGCCGCACGTGTACAATCGAACGTAATGACATGGGTTTCCATAATTGTTGGTCGGGATCGATAACGTGGCACAGATGTGAAGCACCAGGCGATGTACACTGCCAGTCACACAGGTAGATACAGGGGATGGGAGCAAACTGCTTATTTGTAGAGATGCTCTATTGTAAAACATACAGGGATGTAATATACCTATAGAGACAGCTTTGTGATGTAGCGATCAGGGAGGATACCTGGAGGATACCTGGAGGCCTTGGGCATTACACACTGTTGCGTTTGATGTGGGATTCATTTTGAATCGTGGACTGTTGTTCTCTTTAACTTTGTTGGCCGTGGAGGAGATTTTTGTTTTTACTAACTAAACCTAGGTGACAGCTCTGAGAGTCCATGTGTAGTTACCCTGTTAGACTGAGCGTCACACAGGTAAGTGTTACCTGTAAAGGGGTATAGGATGTACAGATCGATGAAAAATCTCTATGTGGTGACATCGCGCATCTCCTACCTTTACTATATTTACTTGCACTGATGATTGCAGTCATTTTATATGTATGTGTATATAAATATTTGTGCAATAACACGCAATATGTGAGGCACGTGTTACCGTGGTTTTATATAAGTATTAAAAAAAAATGTTTTCTGGTAAACGTTGTGTTATATCAGGGATAATGATCATAACATATCATTAGTGAACGTTGGTTATATTTGTAAATAATGTTAATTTTATCGAGTTTTTTTTTTCTTTTGTTTCTTTCTCTGCGCCCAATTAATGCATAGCTATTCTAATTGAATACAGGACAGCAGTATTCGTCCCTGATTAGAGTAAGGCTTAAGCATATCAACGTTATCAGTTGATGGCTCTACGAGTATATATTTATATCGCCTATCAATATTCGCATAATTATTTCTTCAGTTTCTGGAATCATACGGATTGTTTTCAGTATAGCATCATTCATTACGTCAAATATAAGCTCTTACATGACTTCTCTCATTTCCTCTAAATAAACTTCATATTCATAATAATTGAACACAATGCAGATAGAATAGTATATGATGCTGGTCGGGGTTCGTAACTACAAAACTGTGTCTTTGACAATACATCAGAAACAAGCCCTTGTAGAAATGTAGTGTTGATGCATATACAGTATAAATAAATGAAAATTAAACTGAACGAACATTTTATGTCATCAAAAGATTGGTTTTTTTCTTCTCCAAAGTACACACTGCCATCATTTTAGACGTAAAAGAAAAGAGTCTATTTGATCATAGTGCGCGAAACCTGAAATGTAACACTTACCTCCCTTTATGTATTGTGACGTCAGCATATATAGAGCGTCATGAGGTAGTGATATTGTTACTTTTTTTAAGCATCTAAAGATCTTCTTTCGCCTTGTTCGTAGTAAAAAAAACTAGCGTGATCGTTCAATAGTAACTCTTATATCTGTATTTCGTCGTGGACCAATACGTCCTTCGGGATCTTTGTCGTTGTAAGGCAGTAGTTTTTATCAAAGCCGTCACTCATCTATGTTCATCTGTCAGTACAGAGTCTAACATTAATACGTCATCAATTATAATTGAGTTAAGATATAGATGTTAGTAAGTGTAACGTGGGAAGATGAACGTAACACACACATGTAATTGTACCTTTGACATTCGGTAATATACACAGTTAGCTAAACATGAATTACGCTGCATCGTACAACTAGGTCGTCCTTCTAGATCTGATTGGTGATACTGAGGGCCGAAGGGTGGAAATTCATGTTTGTCTGAACTTCTACTGAAAACTGTATTTTGCCACGACAAGATATTGACTTGTTAGTGGTTGTTTTATGTGACGTCGTCACTAGGCTCGCTGGTGTCGTTTACAAAACAACACAGAGATATTCTTACAACTTTAAGTATACTATTATTACAGTGTCAGCAGTGTTAAAGGAAAACAATGTTACACAAAACGCCGTAAAGGGATTGGTCTTCAGAGAACGTCCGAGTAAGTTCAAGGACATGTCAGACACGGGCACGAGTATTATATCTGTTGATAAAGTACAAGACCGGAAGTGGGTTACTCATGTTATCAACTCTACCAATTGCTATGAATTTAAAGACTAAGGGAAGTGTATATGTAATTGTGTGGTGATTCTTTCATCTTAGATAAATACAATATGTGCGTATTGTTTTATGGATATATATATTCTTCTTAGACAAATAAATATGTGGGTTATTGTGTTATGAACATTTATACTCATCTTAGAGAAATAAAGATGTGGGTTATTGTGTTATGAACATACATATTCATCTTAGACACATAACTGTGAGGATTATTGCGTTATGGACCTTTATTTTAATCTTAGGCAAATACATGTGAGTGTTATTTTTATGAACCTATATATTCATCTTTGACAGATAAATGTGAGGTTGTTGTGTTATGAACCTATGTTCTCACATTGTTTGTAAAGACGCTTTCACAATTCCTGGTTTCAATACAGGGAGAGTCGATTTGCATCCTTGTTTTATACACAACGGTATACCAATGTAAAACTTGTAAAGTAATGTCTGGTGTGACGTATTTGTTTATAGTACCTATCGGTATTCATCGGATTTGAAAATATAATACATGTAATAACTAGAAATATGTAGTACTTGTAAGAAGCTCCTTTATAAAACAAGACTTTGTTGATGCAAGGGTCTAAAACGTAAATATGTATTTTATCATATATCGATTTCGTATATTGAGGGCTTATACGTGTAACTAAAGTCAAAGGAGTGACAATATTTGACAGGTATATTCTGAAATTAGCATTACATGTAAGTCGTGTCAGAATCAAGTACAACTCTTTGTACAAGGCTCAGCTAATCTCTGGGACTGATGGTCCACCAATAGAGAACAAGGCTACAGCCAATCTCTGGGACTGAGGGTCCACCAACAGTGTACAAGGCAGGCTAAGGCCAATCTGGGACTGATGGTCCACCAATAGAGAACAAGGCTACAGCCAATCTCTGGGACTGATGGTCCACCAATAGTGTACAAGGCAGGCTAAGGCCAATCTGGGACTGATGGTCCACCAATAGAGAACAAGGCTACAGCCAATCTCTGGGACTGATGGTCCACCAATAGAGAACAAGGCTACAGCCAATCTCTGGGACTGAGGGTCCACCAACAGTGTACAAGGCAGGCTAAGGCCAATCTGGGACTGATGGTCCACCAATAGAGAACAAGGCTACAGCCAATCTCTGGGACTGATGGTCCACCAATAGTGTACAAGGCAGGCTAAGGCCAATCTGGGACTGATGGTCCACCAATAGAGAACAAGGCTACGGCCAATCTCTGGGACTGATGGTCCACCAATAGAGAACAAGGCTACAGCCAATCTCTGGGACTGAGGGTCCACCAACAGTGTACAAGGCAGGCTAAGGCCAATCTGGGACTGATGGTCCACCAATAGAGAACAAGGCTACGGCCAATCTCTGGGACTGATGGTCCACCAATAGTGTACAAACTACGGCCAATCTCGGGGACTGGGTCCACCAATATTGTACAAAGTACGGCCAATCCGGGTACTGATGGTCCACCAATAGAGTACAAGGCTAAGGCCAATCTTGGGGATTGATAGTCCACCACCGGCAGAGAAACAATGTTACGGCCAATCGCAAAGACTAATAGTCCACCAGCAGAGTACAAGGCTACGGCCAATCTTGGGGACTGATGGTCCACCAATAGTGTACAAACTACGGCCAATCTCGGGGACTGAGTCCACCAATATTGTACAAAGTACGGCCAATCCGGGGACTGATGGTCCACCAATAGAATACAAGGCTAAGGCCAATCTTGGGGATTGATAGTCCACCACCGGCAGAGAAACAATGTTGCGGCCAATCTCGGAGACTAATAGTCCACCAGCAGAGTACAGGTCTACGGCCAATCTTTGGGACTGATAGTCGACCACCGGCAGAGAAACAAGTCCACGGCCAATCTTGGGGACTGATAGTCCACCAACGGCAGAGAAACAAGGTTACGGCCAATCTCGGGGACTAATAGTCCACCAGCAGAGAACAAGGCTACGACCAATCTCGGGGACTAATAGTCCACTGGCAGAGAACAAGGTTACGACCTATCTCGGGGACTAATAGTCCACCAGCAGAGAACAAGGCTACGACCTATATCGGGGCAAAATAGTCCACCAGCTGAGAACAAGGCTACGAGCAATCTTGGGGACTAATAGTCCACCAGCAGAGAACAAGGCTACGACCAATCTTGGGGACTAATAGTCCACTGGCAGAGTCAACCACCTTGTTATGTAAAATGTACGCTGGGAATACTAAGCAACGAAACACTTATTTAAAAAATAATAAGTAGAAATATGTGTGGGTTGATATGTGTGAAATGGTTTGTTATGTACCGATTGATTTAACATCGACAAATAAGTAACATGTATACATGATGTGTTTTGAGATCTAAATGTAGGTGATAATGAGTTGGACAAATGGCGTCGTTAAATGGCGATACCCCTTTGGAGATTCCGACTGAATATTAACTTTTTGTTCTATATGCGGTTTGTGTCAGGGTTTATGCCTTTTCGTGTCTACATTTATGCTGACATGTTCGAATTTTACCTGAAACTAGCATCATATATAGAAAATATATCGTATTGCTATGTGGTTCGTGGGTGTGTGGGATTGTGACATGATGTAAAGCCACTGTACGTATGTCTTATCTAGTACAGTCTTTATCTGATCTAATGTTATAATTCGTCAATATTCCATAAAATAACACCCCTGCAGGTAAATGATCGGGAAAAGAATACACATGCTGCAGTACAGAAGTGTTAAAATTTATTGATTGACACGTGCAGTAGATTTACCATAGAAAAGGATATTACAAAATATAAACAAAGTACAAAAAAAGTCCGCAACTACGTGCTAAAGTTAAGTACATAAGCAACGCTAAAGCGCTTTACAGTGCATAGACAATCAATACAATCAACATATATACATATTTATAAAAAAATGCATAAATCAGAACAATTTTGAGGAATTTGAGAAGCTATCTTATCAAGCGCTAACTACTGGTCATATGCCACCTGGGTAATATCTCCCTTTGTTTGTATGCCTGCGTGTTTGCGGGAGATGTATCTTGGTTCCTATTACATCAGGGTGAGGTACATCATGGTGTTCAGTTCAAGGGTTCGAATACCTGTCAAAGAGACAATGTTTTAAAGCTTTGTACGTTACCATCGACTCATTACGGTTATGGTAAAAAATAATCATCCCTTACCATGTTGGTGTGACAGAAATCTCCAACCCGAGGGAAGATGTTTTTTGATTGTCTAACCCGAGGCTCTGCCGAGGGTAAGACAACAAAATAATCACCCCGAGGGTTGGAGATTTCTCTCCTTCGCCCTCAAGGTAGAGGATGATTATTTTTCTCTCAT